GTGAGTAGAAACACCTTTTTTATTTTCCCCAAGACCCAGCCTATTCACCCTTCTCTGAACTGCTGACCATAAAATATAGACAAGCATCTTCTGCTGCAAGATAATAAACATCTGAAGAGTTTTTGTACTGAGAAAGCAATAATGTACTTTTTTTCTTCTCTGCCTACTACCCTATTCTTTATCTTCCTGTTCTTAAAAGATTTTGATTTTTTTATTACTTACATCATTTAATGATTACATCATAGTGTCTATCCATTTTCCTTAACTATATTTATTGGAGAGGGGGGAAATGTTAGAAGCCATAAAAATAGTAATAATCTAGTGTTTTTCAAGTACTGTATCATTCAAAGTCCATAAGCAAACAATACACAGTATCTAATTATCATTTGTCTGTCTTTTCTGAAGTATTTACACATTTTTAAAACAAAGTTAGAAAAAGGTTAGTGTGTCTTTCATATAACACAATTTAACTATGCTGTCCTCATGACCTTCTTGATGAATTTGAATTCTAGGAATATTTTCTTAATTTCAAATTATTCAGTTCTCTTGTTTCCTTTTGTTATGATTTTCATTTAAGTAATTATAAAGTTTTAAATAATTTCTGTTATTAGCTATAGCCTTATAATGGTGAATTCACCATAACTCTACTAGTCATTTTTAGTGTACAAAATGTGTTTTGTTGAGACAGTTTTCTCTTAATTATACAGTTATACAGTGTAATATATACTAATTAATAGTTGCTAAAAGCTTAACAGAGTAAAAAGATTTTATATATAGAAAAATCATTTTGACAAAGAGAAAGGGCACATTTTTGCAAAACATGTCTGTCTTCTTACTCCTCTCCCCTTATGGAAATAAAAAGTAAACCAGCCGGTAGACTCATGCCATTATTCTGTCATAGCCCCAAAAGCCAGGAATAATATCGGTTGTTTATTTTCACATTTTGTTATTGCTTTTTAATTTATTTAGAGATCTCCAGTAAAAAGCTATAATTCCTCAACTATACCTCAAGTAAATCTCCCAAATAGAGGTTTGTTAAAATCTTCAGTATTATTTCAAAAGATATATTACTTACCCATATATGTTACAGATGAAATGCATCATAACATATTATGTGTATGCTTATATAGCAGTTTTTTTATCCTAATATAATGTGAAAATCTTACAGTTTAAATCTCATCTGATCATATCTTGTCCTTTTCAAGATCACAGGGCTGCTTTCTGTAACCATATTACCAGTATTTGTTTGTCATATTTTAAGGAATGTGCTAATAGATTTGACAATGAATTTCTTTTAGCTTTATCCCTAATTTAGAGAATTCCAGTTTTGAAACCTGAAGTACAGGAAATTCTACTCTTCATTATTTGCAGTATTTTTTATAACCATCATTGAAAGTCAAAAATTTGTTTCAGGTGTAAGAGCATAAATGTTTGAAGGTTTATTTAATATTTTAGCTTTTCAGAACATTGTAAAAAGATTTTGGATAAAATAAATGAAAACAAAATGAATTTGCCTTTTGTAGAATATAATCTATAATATTTTGGGGACATAACAAATTCAATTTGAAAACTTCATTCTCTGGTTTATTTTTCAAAATAATCCTGGTTAATTTAAGTATAAATGTAATGCTCATATGCTTACAGATGTGCCCATATTTATCAATCCATCTAAAATAAAAATTAAATTGTCACTATCTGGGCAATATCCAAATATATGCATTTAAGCAGTATTCAGTCTTGAGTAAAAGCAGTATAGGTGCTGATTTTAGTCATCTTCAGCTCTTTTATTAGGCGATGGACTGCCATCTATTGACTCGTGGTAGCCCTCACATGTGAATATGGCATCAGTCAGAGCAGTGACCAGGTAATGAACTAGGTTAGAAGTGCTACTATTCGTTCATTTAAATCAGTATGCTTAAAGTTCTGAAACTTTCTACTTAATAATTGGTTAATTTATTTTTCTAAGCAAAATGTGTCCATGGTGGGGATGGGGGTTGATGAATGTATCCAGTTTGGAAATCTTTATATTAGAGAGCTTTTCAGTTGCTTTTACTGCTTCTCAACCAGTAAAACTAGAATGACATTTACAGAACAACTTAAAACAACTACAAATTAAGATCTATATAGATCACTTTATTTTTTTAAAGTCATTTAAATTAAACACTTATTTTTCAAAAATATTAAAAAACATGAAATTGACTAACATAGCTGAACTTCTAAAATGTTCCTAATAAGATTCTTGAAAACATATTCTGAAGGAGAAAGTTCTAGAAGTACTTACTTTTCAACAATATCATGAAATAAAAATTAAGTCTCTTTAACAGCTTGAATCTGAACAAATAATTTTTTAACCAAATTTGACTTCACTATATTAGCAAAAACTAGGACCTTGTTTTAAAGGATCTATGCTAATAAAATTCTAAATTACTCCATGCACACACATCATGATAACTATATGTTTATGCCATTTTTATATATTCTAAAGATTATAAAAGCATATCATGAAATTTAATATTTAGATTATTGATTTAGAAACCTATGTGGGGAAAATTATTTTTATTTAGCAAGTGTATATTTTCTTCAAACAGTTAATATTTTTGCTTCCTAAAAAAAGTTTAGAAACCTCTAAAGCTCTTTTAAAACTATAGCTCTATTCTTATATTTTAATTTCCACTTTATTTTCAGATTATTTTGTAGAGCCTGACTTTGAATGTTCTTTTTTCTTTCACATAATTCATTCTAGCTAAAAAGTTCCCTCTATAACTATTCAAGAAGGAAAATCCCTTCCCCCATCCCTTGTCATTTCTAGTCTCATTTATATTAAAAAGCAGTATGGCCACCAGCAGAGTTTTATAGCCAGCAGAATTTGATTCATAGTCTATAATTTGACTTGTATTAGACATTTTGTTACTCTTGCTTTTAATCTACTCATTTAAAAAAGTAACCAGGAATATTGTATTTAGAGGCTATATTTGGTAAGAACCAAAAAGAACAGTGTATCTTTAATGTTCAATTTTGTGCTTGGATTTCTTTGTGAGTGTTGTTAAAATGAATTACAACCTTAATAGCTTTTATTTTAACTAAAGCTTTAAAGAGGAAGCAGTTATAACTTTCTCTAAAAGAATTTAGAAGCAGTTATAACTTTCTCTAAAAGAAATTAAATATTTCTTTATTCATATTGTTTGAAATAGTTAGAATTCATACTTTAAAAATAAAAATACATGTTTTCAGATGAAAGAAGAGAGTAATAAGCTTTCTTGTCTTTCTTTCTGGCCCAGGAAAGGCTTCTGACCAGACTTCACTAGTAAGCAATACTAGTCCTACCTGAGCCAGCTGAATTGGAAAGTGTATCTTATGAACCATAGTTAACAATATTCCATTTCATTTTGACACTCAGTTTTCTCTTCTTGCCTGGAAACATCAATTTAGAAATGTATTTTCTGAGTTTTCACAGTATTAGAATGTTTTTACAGTATGAGTTTTACACTAAATGAGAATTTTATCCTCTAAAGAATTCTATGCCACACAATCGAGTGGGTAACCCTTAAGTGTCATCAGATAGGTATTTAACTTTAGAGCTACTTTATAGTCCAGAAGGAATAAGAAAGTAGAGTTAGGTTCTAACACTATAGCTATACAAAAACCTGGAATTGTGATGTAAGGTAGATAATAATTTTCTACCTGCTTTCTGCTAAAATGAATCTTTTAAAAAATAACAAAGTGAGAAATCGAGTTTTAAAAACTCAGCCCAGAATCTTTTCATAGAAAAAATACTTCTCACCTTTAATTAAATGAATGAAATACATAAAATATAGTATATATGTATATAAATGGAATTTTAGAATTTTTTTTATTTTTAAGTGCCTTCTGGGATCTCCTCTTAAGTTTGATACTTTCATTTACTTTGGCAACTTGAGAACCAAAATTACTCTTGTTCTCTGTATCTGGTATTACTATTTGATTGCTGACCAAGTGTTGCTATTAAGACATTATATTTCTCTCAAATTTTCAGAGATTTAATTTTCTTTAAAACTCCCTTAATACTAAAATACAACTAAGATGAATGTAATTGTGCTCTGTTGACAGAAGGCACATGACTTTTGTTGTACTTCAGGCCCATTTTTTCATGATAGCACTACAAAATAAATGGAATATTGTTAACTATGGTCCAAATGACTTAGTGTCGGGAAAACAAGATTTTTTTTTTCTTGTAGCGCTGGAGATTGAACCCAGGACCTCATGCATGCTAAAAACTTTACCACTGAGATACTCCCCAGACCCAACTAGAATTTTTTGAATCCTCATGATGACCTAGTTGCTAGTACTTTATCTGTGATAACAGAGACATTACATTTGGACAGTGACCAAAATTTCTAAAGATTTATGGAAAATTTACATGAATAATTTTTATTTTTATATTTACTTTGTTTTTAAGGTCAGAATTATGCTAGTAAATTGTTTTTCAGTGTTAACCATGTCTTGAATTTAATATAAAAGATAATTATAACATTTAGAGAATGAAGTCAACTGAATTTTTTTTATCTTTATTTCACTGGCATGTTGGACCACATTTTGCCAGAACTTATCATTGGAAGCAATTGGAATATGCAATTTCAAAGCAAATGAAACTTGCAATTATCAATTTCAATAAATGAGATTCATTTAAAAATAAATACAATTTACCAAGTCATCAAAAAGCTTCTTTAAAGGAAACTGGAAAAGAGTGAACACTATGAATTATAAATGTACATTATGTTTCATCTTGTAATACTTCCTTAGACATTATAAAAACAAATATAATCTTTTTGAATGAGAGTAGAATGATTTAGATTAGGATATATTTTATATAGATTTATTGAGCACATAGAATAAACTTAGTGTTTCCTTCTTTTGAAAGGAGTATTGAGATACCTGCTCCTTCAGAGAGAATTCTCTATGTACTTGATTTTCAATATTTTAATGAAAAAATAATTTGCTGTAAATTGAAAACCAGTATGACA